GATAAAAATCGGCCGATTTTATTTTTTAGCCGGAAATCATCGGTCGTTTCTTAGGCGCAGGGCCTCCTAAGGCGCGAGTCGCTAGGTCGGTTTGGGGTCTTGCTCCCCCCCTTTCCCCAAAGATATTTTTTCTGAGGCTCAGAAATGCCATTCTCCACGGTACAGGGCACAAATCACTGATGTGGAAAAACGATGAGTATTCAGTAACTTATGTGGTTTATGTTTCAACCCTTTGGGATTTTTGATAGTAGGTTTACTAGGAAGGACTTGGAGAGACTGTCAAACCAGAAAGGCGCTTGTCAATAATAAATATCTACTTTTTTTCTCTGGATTTCCGGAGGTGCGCACGTGCGTAGGTGCGTATATATATGGTCACAACTCCCCTGTGACAAAGAACATCTACAGCTATACAATCCACGGGTGTCTAAACTTACAATCCATCAAATATTTTCGCTCACGTACGGTTGGTCTAAACCCGCCACGCGACTGAATATTCCCCAGCCAAAGCTGGGGAACATCCGAGTGATATTCCCCAATTTTCAAAACCGTGCGTGAAGGATAACAAACAATAGCTATTAGCTGTTTATATAGTCTTTTTAATCCACGTTCTCAAAGATATCTTTGCCTACAGAGGAGCTGTCTTGTGAAATAGTCTGTCACCAGAAGCAAGGTAAGCTACTAGTTTATACTTCTTTAGAAGTGTTCTTTAATGAAAACGTTTTAATTCATAAACCGTGCTATGATTAGTTTAGTGTATAACATTATTGTAATAGCTGTAGGTAGTTACATTAAATAGTTTTTTTTAACACAAACTCTCCCTCTTAATAATGGGAAGTGAACACCACAATAATAGAGATTTTATTATTATTTTAATATATTATGTTTCATTTCCCAAAGCTCTTCACACTACCGACCCCCCCCCCTCCTTCACGCATTGTACTTGCACGCTCGCCCCCCTCTCCGTTCAAGTCAAAGAATGACAGCTGTACATTTCAACACAATGCCTTGCAAACCTAACAAAGCCAATTAGGTGTAAAGAAAGTCATATTTTGGTAAAATATGTACTGTGTTAACAACATTGTGTCGCTAAGTTTAAAGCTTTTAACAACTTTAGCAACTGCATCGGCGGCGGAGCAGGGGGGAGGAGCAAACGAAAATTTGGGGGAACTCAGCATCCCCCCACCCCCGCGTTTCAGTGCGGAAAATATCGTTAGCGCTGTATGGTAATGGTTTGACAATATATTCCGTTTCGTGATCTGCCCGAAATACTTCGGGTTACCATTATAAAAACCATTTGCTTAGCTCTCAACAAAACTCCTGTCACCAAAACCTTCTAGAAGAGGTGGACAAACTGTTAAGATTGTATTTGACATAACCTGTGGCATCGGCGACTTCCGAAGGCACATTTTCTGCCCTACGAAGACCAAAAACCTATCTTAGAAACACCATGAAGACTATGAAGAAGGATGATCTAAACAACTGCCCTCTGCGGCATTGTCGTAAGTCCATTACGGACACATTGAACACGGTAGACATCGCAAAGAAGTTTGTTTGTGCAGACAAACAATGGTAGACATGCTGGAAAATACGAGTAGAGGTATGTACTTGGCTTAACGCTGAGCTCCCCCCCCCCGCCCCCACCCATGTTTCAAAACGCCCCGCCGCCTCTGAACTGTTCGTTTACAAGGCCTTTGTGTGTTAAGACGCAATTACGGGTAAATTAGCTAGGTGCCATATTTTTCCTTCCGATGGATTGAGTTCGTGGACTGGAAAAAACTAGAATAGAAAATCCAAAAATCTGCTTGTTGATACTGAGGACATGGCTGTTTTTCTAAACTTGGCCAGATATACTGAATAGAAAAAGGGTTTGAGGGGCTACTCTTACACAACCATCCTCTCTTTGTCCCACTTGATTAAGCAATAAATGAAATCACAGCATTTTCATTCCGCAATCAATTGTTTCCCAGGATAAAGCTTGCGAGAGCTAAAGTGATGACACAAAGACAGCTAATGAACGGGACTTCTCCTTTGGACATATCCTCGGTCACTTCAGCTAAGTTTAAGACGTTTAACTTCCCATTACATTTGTCTTCTGGACAGCATTCGATATTACAACGCCGAGCCTTGGTTATGTTATACTCGTTGCGTTGGAGCATGTCCCTCTCACAGGCTGCTTCGTCGCACATGTCCTGTAAATCGCAAACATATGACAAATGAACAATGCCAAGCCGCTGGTCACTTTGGGGTTTTTCCCGAGAGGGGTGGGGGCGGGGGGGAACTTACATATAAAAAAAACGGGGTGCTCGCCTAACTTTTAGGGGTTAAAAACGAGAGTTTGGTACCTCTTAGGGTGTTCAGCTTCAAAAGGTCCATAGCGGAAGCTTTTACGGTATAGTTTAAGGTATATATTGAGGCGAAAAATATAAAATGTTTAAGCAAGCAACCGGAACGATGATCCTGCTGGTATACGTTGGATCAATAGTGATCTAATCGGCTTTACATATAAAATGAAGAATAC